CCCTTCCAAGTTTTTTTTTTTTTGTTTTTAAAACCTGGGTTTTTTTCAAAAAAAACCCCCCCTAAAAAAAAAAAAAACTAAAAAAAAAAAACAACCCTACAAAAGGAAGAGCAGGCTTATGTCCTGAGTTCATTACAACTTTTTTCCATGTCCTAGGCTATTTTGTTCTGATAAAATGCATTTTGCAGAGATCAGTTCAAACTTGATCATTCCAATCTCCATTCATTGCTTGACGAATTCTAAATGGTTAATTTCATAGAGCAGCCAAACAAAATGCCAAAATGTTGTTCCGAGTATTTCTTACCTAGTGATCCAGCTGCATTCTCCTCTAACAGGCAAAGTTGCAGTTGACTGTTGGTAATTTGATCAAACTGATCAGGAAAGTTGGGAATGTCTAGTTACCTCAACATATAGTTTTACATAACTTATGGCCAGTAGGCCATAGCTCTGACAGCATGATTGTACTAGGATCCTTTCAAGTTTTAGGGGCAGATTCTCTGCTCCTAACCTCTGCCTTTGCAGCACTCAGGGAGTGCAAATCCACAACAAGTCCCTTGCTGCCAAATCCCCATGTGGGAGAATCTTCAATGTGCAAAGAGTTCCTGTATCTCCCTCTTTGCAGCCCCAATGCAAAGGAAACATCACTTGCAGGGAAGGGGAGCATCTTAAGGGGGATGCCATCCAACAAGATACTGGGGCGATGGCATGGCATATCTTGCACTGCTCCAGATGCAGCTTTCTGTCAACAGGTCTGTTTCCAAAGCGGTCAGTCCAAGCGCTTTCCAAGGCTATCGCAGACTAAATTGACACAAGAGGAAAAAGAGAACAGTTTAGCCAATGGCCATCTCAAACAGATTTACCTGATTGTGGGCCTGATCCAAAGCCCACTGAAGTCAAATTCTACTAACTCCAATGGACTATGGATCGGGTCCTATGCATGCAGTGACCCTGTGACAGACTGTACCCCTATGTCCATTCTTTTTACATGCCCATGATATATTTTGTACAAAGTATGCCTTGTGAGGTATCATTTGACAACTCAATCTGCTGGACTTATTGTCCTGGTAAAATAGGTGTATCAACATTGTATGTAAAGTATAAGATTCTACTGTATAACACGGCTGTAACATGCTCCAAGTTTAGAAAAGCAGGCACAAACCAGTTCCTCAGAAACAAAAGACAAACCAGCAACTAAGCCAGGTGGCTTAAGCCAACCAAGTCAAGTGGATTATCACCTAGTTAAGTGACCATTCTTTGGCAGGAAGAAAGGTGTGAGAAGTTTACATATTAGCAATGGAAAACAGCTAGGGGTTCCTGTGTAAACAGATTGGCTGCCCCCTGAACCCCAGCTGGAGATGACCTTCAAGGAGGGGAGAAAGGTATAAGAATAGAGAAACACATACAACACAAATTACCTCTCTCCTCCATTCCTCTATGCTCACGGCAGGAACAACAATGTAAAAGACAACCCAGGTTGGTGATCTGAGGGGACACAGCTGTCCATCTGTCCAGATTGTATCCTGGATAATGTCACAGGTCCTCACCAAGGGCATGGCATATCCATATTCGGTATCCTACAAGTAATCGTGCATAGACAAGGACTATGGGACAACATGGATTCCCTATGTAGTTTCCAGGAAAATAGACTATAGGAACAAAGCCAAATCTCTGGATTTATTTCTTTGCATATTGTCTTTGAAGATCAAGCTATTAAATTGTTAGCAACAATCAAACAGAAGTGATACATACAGCATATACATATACGCACTAATAAAGATGTTCCAGTTTCCCCTTCTTTTCTATACATTATTGATACTTACCCATCTCTGCAAAGTATTTTGAAACCTACAGATAAAAGCTCTATGTACTTTTAAGCATTATTTCAGACAATGAAAACTATATTCTAGACCTTCCCTCGTAAATGCAAGCACTCAACAAAAAATTGATGCTATATACCCATGGGAAAGTGCATCTTACCAGATAAGACAACAAAGACTTATTCAGAAATAGAAAAGAATACAGCAGTTCATAAGAGTAACACAAACTTGTTATTTGACTTGTGTATAAACCAAAAGAATTAAGTTTTATTTGCATACAGCTTCACAAGAAGAGGTAAGTGGTAACTCACTTTCTACATTTTACTAAAGGCTAATGTTATTAACTCCATAGAAGCTCATTAATACAGGTAATTTTACAAAATTCAGTGTTCTACAACAGCAAAAAAAGTGGGGGCAAGCCTCTTATTTAGGAACCTAAATTTAGGCATCCAGTTTGAAAATTCTGGCCTAAATCAGTAACACTGTCCTTTTCCCCACATCTGTTTTGTATGTAGCGAATATTTCTAGGGAATCAATCTTCTGTTAAACAATCAAATGTAATGCATTTCCATCCTGAAAGTTCAATTTAAAGGTTAAATACACCCAAACCAATGACAACATAACCATGGGCAAAGACCAGAGCTGGAAAGCTGAAGCCACCACTGGCCTTTGTTCCCTGTGCTAGAGGGCCAATTATGTTATTGAGATGTTAGAACTGTCACCTAGACACAGCAGAAAGTCAAACTATATGACCTAACAGCATCTCTAAGGCCTGATTGCCCTTATAAATCTGTGCAAGTCAGGAGTAACTCCATTAAAGTAAATGAAAATGCACTCTGTTTACATCAGTGTAAAGCAAGTATCACACTGCCCTCAATTTGTTTGTTTTTTTAAATTCTCTGCTCGGCCTTTGGGGAGGGACAAAAGAGAAGGAAACAATACAATAAAATAATAATTTGTTAATGCCACCTGACAGCCAACAGAGCATCATTCATTAGTATTTATTACCAATGATCCACCCTTTAAGGGGAATGGTCTGATCATGCTAGTTTGAAAAAGGAGCAGAGGAAAAAAGGGCTAACTCCTTGAGAACCCCATTTCTCTGGGTATGCATATAAAAATGATGGTAGTATCTCAGTACCACATGCGAGTTCTAGCCAAGACTAGAACCCTCAAAAACAGAGGCTGGTACAAGCTAATGAGTGAAAGGCTACCACAGCATTTACAAAGATATACCATGTAATTACTTTTACTACCATATTAATCATTATGGAGCACTGACATTTAGGCCTATAAAGCCTTATTCATAGAGATACCGGGCACAGGCATAGGGAAAAAATACTTGCAGTTTAATTGCTATATTAAAAGTTTTACTCAGCACTACTCTGAAGTTTCACTTCATACTATAGAAAAATTAAGTTGTTTGACAAAATTAAATTTTAATTACATCATCATTTCTGAGTGTCACTGACAGACATCAAGAGTGGCATTCTGCCAGTGCCATTATAGAAACCAAATAGGGGTGGGTGGAAAAATTGCAAGCATGTGTCAGTTCTACCTGAAGATCATAGGAACACCAGGGTATGTTGCTTATAATCTTTATGAAGTAGTAATGAATTTTACTTAAAAGTGCCCCACAATGAGAACAGCTCTCCCCGCCATGTTAACTTTTGGGTTGCAAAGGCAAAACAAAATGCATGCAAGGTTTTGCTATTCTGCAGAAAGCTAAACACTGGTAGGCACTTCACCAAAGCATACAAATATATCACAGCTTTGAAGAGAAGAACACAAAAATCATAGCTTTATTAATGTACAAAAAGTTACAGTGCTGTTCACATTACAAATATGTTCCACCTACAAAAATGCTCAACAACTATGTACAGTCAATTGAAGAGGTCATCAGCCAATTTCTCCACTCTTGGGAGATTCCATCATTATTACAGCCTTGCCTTAGAGAGGCGCTCCTAGACTACCCCAAATCTTCCACCTCATGTCTTCCAAAAGATTCACAGGTAACATGGATAACTTTTCTTCTTGCCCATTTCTGGCAATTAAGGTTATGGTATTTCAACCCCCTTTCACTCTCATTCCAGACTCCCATGCAAAGACAGGAAGTTGTGGAATTACTGCCATTCCCAGTCTGATGACCTCTCAGTATAAACCACTCAATAAACAAAACATACACATGTGTTTTGGCCAGTATACCATCAACAGTGTTATTCTGATCCTTCTAAGCAATGACTTGTAGGCTTAACACAAACATAGGGAAAGAATTAGATGGCATTTCAACAGTCAGCTCTTTGATTGCTATTCATATAAATGATCTCAAAACAAGAGAAAGTTTCTCACTGGACCCTCATGAGAAAATTCCCACTAGTTATGTGTTCTTATACAGACACACACAAAAATTATAATCCCTAGCTATTGAGCACTTAATATCTTTAACAAACCCTTTGAGGTAGGTAAATGGGTAAATTTGAAATGGGACTATGAAATGGTAAGATGAGGCACAAAGAGGTAAGTGATTTGTTTGCAGGTCAGCATCCAAGCCAGTAGTGTGCTGGAAGGTAGAGTTCTTGAGTATAGCCAGAAATGAATGTGTTATTTGAGGACAGGTTGCAGAGCAACTGATGGTGAGGAAGCCAGTTTTGTCAAAACCTCTATTGCAGAGCAGGTTACAGAATCAGCGTCCCGTTACTAGTCAGACACTAGATGGAAGCTAGATTCAAATGAGAACAGGATAGAGGATACTTGCGAGCCCTATGTACTTGTTAGTGTTAACACAGGATTAACCATGAAGAGCAAGAGAAAGACAAACGAAAGTGTAGGTCCTCTACTTAGCAGGGAAGCAGAGCTAATGACTGACAACATCAAGAAGGCTGAGTGTTTAATGCCTATTTCACTTCAGTCTTTTCTAAAAAGGTTAATGGTGTTGAGTATTGGGTCACAATATTAACAACAAAGGGGAAGGAATGCAAGCCAGAATAGTGAAGAACGGGTTAAAGAACATTTAGATAAGTTAGACGTATTCAAGTTGTTAGGTCCTGATGAAATTCATCCTATTGTACCTATGGAACTAGCTGAAGCAACCTCATAACCGTAAGCAAGTATCTTCGAGAATTCATGGATGCTGGGTGAATAACTCGAAGATTGGAGAAGGGCAAAAATAGTACCTATCTTTTAAAAGGGGAACAAAGAGGACCCAGGGAATTATAGACCAGTCAGCCTAACTTGCACACATGGAAAGATACTGGAACAAATTATTAACCAATTTGTAAGCAGCTAGAGGATAGCAGGGTTATAAGAAATAGCAAATCATGCCAAACCAACCGAATTTCCTTCTTTAACAGGGTTACTGGCCTAGTGGATGAGGGAAAGCAGCAGACAGGATATACCTTGATTTTTAGTAAGGCTTTTGACGCAGACCCACATGGCATTCTCATAAGTAAAACAGGTAAATGTGGTCTATTTGAAATTACTATCAGGTGAGTATAAAACTGATTGAAAGACCATACTCAGAGTAGTTATCAATGGTTTGCTGTCAAACTGGTAGGGATGAATCTAGTGGGGTCCCGCAGGAGTTAGTCCTGGGTCTGGTACTATTCACTATTTTCATTAACATGGAAAATGCTGTGGAGAGTATACTTATAAAATTTGCAGTCGATACCATGCTGGGAAGCACGTAGGAGGATAGGATTAGAATTCTAAATGACTGACAAACTGGAAAATTGGTCTGAAATCAACAAGATGAAATTCAGTAAAGGTAAATGCAAAGTACTACACTTAGAAAGGAAAAATCAAATGCACAACTACAAAATGGGGAATGACTGACTAGGTGACAGTACTGCTGAAAACCATCTGGGGTTGTAGTGGATCACAAACTGAATATGAGTCAACAGCGTGATGTAGTTGTGAAAAAAGCTAATGTCATTCTGGAGTGTATTAACTGGAGTGCTATATATAAAAAATGCAGGAGGTAATTGTCCTGCTCTACCTGGCACTAGAGAGGCCTCAGCTGGAATACTGTATCAGTTCTGGGTGCCATGCTTTAGGAAAGATGTAGATAAACTAGAAAGAGTCCAAAGGAGAACAAGAATGATAAAAGGTTTGGAAAATCTGAACGGTGGGGTGGGGTGGGGAGGGGAGGAGGGAAGAGAAGGGGAGACCCTAGGCATGTTTAGTCTTAAGAAAAGAACTAGGGAGGACCTGATAACAGTCCTCCACGATGTTAAGGGCTGTTATAAAGAAGACAGTGATTACATTGTTCTCTATGTCAACTGAAGGTAAGACAACAAGTAATGGGCTTAATCTGCAGCAAGGGAAATTTAAGATGGTTATCAGGAAAAACTTTCTAACTAGAAGGGTAGTTAAGCACTGGAATAGACTTCCAAGGGAGGTTGTGGAATCAGCATCCTTGAAGGTTTTTTAAGAACAGAGGGATGGTCCTGCCTCAGCACTCAGAAGGCTGGACTTGATGACCTCTTGAGGTCCCTTCTAGCCCTATATTTCTATGAATAATTGGAAACAGTCTGTTTAGTCAGAGCCCTAATATCCAGGGCTTTGGAGCTGTGCTCTGGCTCCACTCCAGCTCCAGGCAAAAACCTGCAGCTCCACTGCTCCGGAGCTGCTCCACACTCCAGCTCCAGGATCTGGTCCAAAGCCCTGCTAATGTCCATAACTTTCCAACAATTACAGTCTATTATACCAAAGCATAAGAGACAACATACCATGCTGCACACTTACATTTAAATGTGTTATGGTGTATGCACGTGTGTATATACACACACTCACACCTTAAACAAAATGTTTATTCCACACACATCTAATTTAAGATAGAAATATGTGAACGAGCCATCTGAAACTCGTTAATCCTGAATTACATCTTATTGTCTACAAGAATACTGCTATGAGGGATCAAAATGAACAAAATTAACACAATGAACATTAACTCGCTCAGAGGTTATGTATCTGTCCAGTCTCCCCTCTTCACAGGGGAAGGGGGGGTGGTAACTCCATAGTTACTACAGTCTTTTGTGCACAGACCTGACAGACCTGTGAAACTCCATGGGTGGGCAACCCAAACCCACCTTAACTTCCGGCACATCAAGAACTTGCCAAGGACAACAGGATGTGGACGCAACTGCAAAATGCTCCTTCCTGCCAGTTTAAAGCAACGAAGCTTTAACTTTCAACTGGTATGACCATCTCCCTCCCTGCCCCTCAAATCCTAGACTCCCGTGCACAGATGGGATGTCATGGAACAGTCCTGAAAAATTCGTTTCCCCAGACAAAAGCAGATTAGCCTTTACCAAAGCCCAGGCAGGAATGTAGGGCCCCTTTTAAATCTGCTGTAAAAACATCAGCTCCTACATCAGACAAGTCATCTACATCAGGCAGGAACATGTTTGGCTTATCGTAAGTGATTAAATCATGTCTCAAAAACATTATGCCATTTTCACTGCAATAATGGGACATTTCCCTGTTAATCCCCTTCCGTGCCTTTTCTATACTCACTGGTTTTTCGGCTCCTTTCCAAAAACGCCTTGGCAACAGTGAAGACCAAATTATATGGGCATCAGGGAAGGCCCTTCTAAGGATGCCCAAGTCATTTTTCATTTTGACAATAAGTGACATACTGGTGTGTTGCACAAGATCATTTTCCCCAAGGTGAATTACTATAATTGATGGAAAAGACCTGAGATAATAAATTTCATGAAGAAGAGGCAAGAGCTGATCCCACAGCATTGCCTGTATGCCATGCCAATACAAAAATGCACTCGAACTTGGGAAACCCAGCTGCAGCCCATGTGGGTGAGTGCTTGCCCTCCTCTTTGTCACCAAAATCACAGAATGGCCGCAAATCCATATTTCCTTTGGTTCAGCTTGCATAAAGTTATCACCACCTAAAAATAAAATACCATACAGTTAATTTTACAGACCCTATAAGGTCTATATCCCACCACCCCAGGAACCCCAGTCCTAGCTGACTGAAAACTATAAAGATCCAAAACTAATAAGTGTGACAGTTTTTCAAGTACCAAACTATAACAAAGAAAAGAGTAAAAACCAACCCCATGATGAGCAGGCTGGTTTCCCTTAGATCAGGGGTAGGCAACCTATGGCTGATTTTCAGTGGCACTCACACTGCCCGGGTCCTGGCCACCGGTCCAGGGGCTCTGCATTTTAATTTAATTTTATATGAAGCTTCTTAAACATTTTAAAAACCGTATTTACTTACATACAATAGTTTAGTTATATATTATAGACTTATAGAAAGAGACCTTCTAAAAACTGGCACGCGAAACCTTAATGTATTACTAGCACACGAAACCTTAAATCAGAGTGAATAAATGAAGACTCGGCACACCACTTCTGAAAGGTTGCCGACCCCTGCCTTAGAGCTATACTTTAAATTGCACCTTACTTCCCTTAAAGCTCAAAGCAAACTCCCCACAAACATCCTTCACTGATAGGCTCAGAGTTTGAATTAAATCCTATTCCTACTGTCACATATGTCACAAGATGCACAATATTGTCAATTTGTTTTTGAGGTGGGGGAGGGGGGGGGAAAGAGGTCACCTTCATGATTCTTCATACCATGTTGTTCAGGCTGTTAATCTCTATAGGGTCACTCAACTGATTTTCTTGCCATGACCAAGTTTAAGCAAAGATTTTCACAGAACATTCCTGCTTTTCTGTATTAATTCCTCATATCCCATCAGTAGAATGCATGCAGGACAGCAGTCCTCATATTGCAAGAGCACATGCTAATTCCAGTCACTCACTCTCAAATCACACTCTGCCTGCTATCAGTACTCCTGTTCCAATTCTGCCCACAATACAAGCAAGAATTGGAAGAGGGACAACTGGATACATGGATGTATGTGAGCACAAAGAGGAAAGGGAGCAGTGTTTGGGAAGGGGAGACATAGGAAGCAGCAAAGGTTGTCAAAAACAGATGAAGGAGAAAAGAAAGAAGAGCCTTAATTGGAAGAACATGGAATTAAAAAAAGAAAGAAAAATCCAGCCAACCACAGATATCACCCCTCAGTCACAACAAGAGGTACTCAATCAAGAAGTAGCAATTCAAATATGTGAAGGATATAAACACTAAGGAGGAAGATAAATAACTTACAGTAGTGCATGGGGACTGTGAACACTTAAGACAGTGACCATCTTCCATGGGTATGTACAGAATGGATCAGAACAGGGACCCAATCCTGACTGAGGCCTCTGGCCATTACCTCAATTCAAGAACAGCAGCAAAGAATGGAACAAAGCTTAAAAAAGTAGGCTGAATACAAGAAAGTACTTCCCTATTGCACAGCCTAATATATGTTGCCACCAGGAAGTGGAAACTCCATCGACTGGGATATTCAGACCTATAGACAGCACTGGGAAAAAGTCTTGTAGCAAACAATCCCGCCCTAGTCAGGTAGCAGGTGTGTAAACTAAATGATTGAACAGATGACTTCCATCACTACTTCCTACAATTCCCACATTTCCTGATTGAAATCAAGCATCAGAGAAAGACTAAGTCACAAAACCTCAGGTAAGAAAATAACAAAAGATACTGAAAAAATCAGAAGGGGAAAGGCATAATTTTGTTTTAGCATTAAGATGATTTCCAAATACATTACATTTTTCCAAAAGAGCAATCAGGATGAGGGCTCACTTTCCCCTAGATGTGAAATTAGAATCCACAGGACATTAGATGTCTTTGCTTGTCTCACTCACCTCCACCTTTTCATTCCGAATCAGCCGCAATGCACTCCTTGCTACAGTTCCTTGCCATTGCTTCATTCACTGAAAGTCAAGTAACCTCCAGAGACGCAAGGTGGGTGAGGTAGTATCTTTTATTAGATCAACTTCTGTTGGTGAGAGAGTCTCTCTAATATCCTGGGACCGAAACCACTACAACGACACTGCATACAAGTAATCTCCAGCTCACAGCATGACTTCTTTTGACAGTTAGTAGTTTATATTTCCTGCACCTCCAAATCCAAACTGCCTAAGATTTTCTGTTATTTAGTTACTGCTTACAGAGCAACATCTTCCCTGCCACTCATTCACTGTTATGGTGGTAATACCACAGAGACATTAGAGGCTGCAAAGTAACAAAGTACCCCAGTCATGTAAGCAAAAAAGAAGAGTCACTACCGAAGAAGAAGAAGAAGAGAGGAAGACTGAAGGGCCAATGTGGAGATGGGGAAGGGGTAGCAGTGGGAGGGGGGCAGGAAGAGTCAGCAATATGCCAGGATTCCTTGGAAGCCTCAGATGTGAACTTGGAGTTCCCTCAGTCCATAATTTAAGATCTATTTTCTCCTAATGGATTCTCAGATGTTTGAGTTAAAAAAAAGTGTTAATAAAAATGAGAAATATTAAACAGTCTGAATAAAAAAATAAATAAAAAACACTACCTCTTATCAGTTAATTATGGTTTTTGTTGCCTGGCTTCTCAAATGTCCTATTCCTAATTTTTTCTAGTCACCCATAGTCTTCCAGGTGAAACAGGGATCTACAAAAAATCATAGAATCATTTCTACTTCTCCCACACCATTATATTTATATCAATCTCTTTTTAGGGTTTTTCTACCATACATCATAAAGAAGCAGGAAAATATACACAAATGATCTTCAGACTACCTCTAAAGATAAAGCATCATACCCTGGAACCCACAGTCTCAACATCTTCTGTTGCCACGGACTGCATTATAGAATTCCATAGGTTGAAGCCCTCCCACTCCACTCACCTGGTACCATGCTTCTAATGTGGGAATCTGGTGGGAAAAATGACAACATGGGCTCCATATTGTAGGCCTCTGCTTGGTCCTCTGATCCCAGGGGGTTGGGCTTAGGCTCCTTTATCCTATCCTCAGTGCATGGTACAAGGTTCACTAAGGTTGTGCGCTCCTGGCTAATAGGCTTCTTCTTTCTCTTGCGTTCTGTCACAAGTAGGGTGGGGGTCCAGGTGAGTTGCTGTGGCTCACTGCTCTTGCCACTTGTCTCTCTGCTCCCGCTTCCCAGGTCCTCCTCAAAGGAGCAGCCCACTTCCAGTTCTGTTTTCACTGCAGCCACTGCCACTGGGTCCAGCCAGCCACTCCCACCAGCTGCAACCACAGCCTTGAAGGCTTCCAAAAGGGCTGGACTATGGTTGTCATCAGGCCCAGGCAATTTGAGGAGCTTGGCTGCTGGAGTCCCACACACAGGGACATTGTTGTTGTTGTGTCTCTTTGTGGCTGCCATTGAAACCACAGAACCCTTGAAAGCCAATGTGCTGCTGCTGTTGGGCTCCATTGTAGATACAGATACCCCACTGTTGTATTTTGGCAGTGGGATGGCCGCCTGTGACCCAAAAGAGGGAGACTGAATGATCTCATTGGCCACCTTCGCCGCAGGGCCCATCGCCCCAGAGCTTGAGGCCGCCAACATCACCGCAGGGCCTGAGGTCACTGGGCTTCCACCAGCCACCTTCACCGTAGGGTCTGAGGTTGCTGCTGTCCTCGTCACCGTCCCACCAGCCACCTTCATTGTCGTCTCCGCTGTGCTCCGGTCAGCCTCCTTCACCACAGGACCCAAACCCACCACCATCATCTCCCCCACTCTCCCAGCGTCCACCTTTGCTGGGGGGCCCGGGGCTACCATGGTCACGCTCCCGCCAGCCACCTTCACCATGGGGCCCGAGGCTGCCACCACCATGGTCACGCTCCCACCTGCCACCTTCACCGCGGGGTCTGGGGCCGCCGCCGTCTCCGCTGCGCTCCCGCCTGAGGCCGCTGTCATTGCTGGGCCCACCGCGCTCCCTGCCCCCACGCTCCCACCAGCCACCTTGGGGTCTGCCGCTCCAGCCGCCTTAGCCTTAGGGCCCGATGCCGCGCTCCCTTTCGCCCTGGGGGCGGCTGCCGTCCTTGGCCGCGGCTGCCATCCCCGCTGCCCAGAGCCGGCCGCTCTCTTCCTGCGAGCGACTGGCCACGACTGCTGGCATTGGCCCTGGAACGGGGCCCAGGCTGAGGGGCAGCGGGCCCCGCGGGGCAGGCGCCAGACCTGGTTACCTTGACGCTGCTGCAGCACCTGCTGCTGCCGCCGCCTCAGCTGCCGGTCCCTGAAATCTGAGAGAAGGGAGAGAGGGTGAGAACTAGCCGCGGGGCGGGGCCGGGCCAGCCGCCTAATGCCTGGCTGGGATTTACTCAGCTATCACTTACCCATATCCAGCCCCACCATCTTGACACTGCGCATGCGCATAACGCGCGGGGCAACGTCGGCCGCGTCCATCCGGGCATTCCCTGAGTCCCCGCATGGTAAGAGTTTAGAGCGATAATATACAGATGTTACGCATGCGCAAAGCAGGACATCAGTCACCAGCCCCGCGTAGGCGCATGCGCAGAGCCGTCCTAAACGGCTCACGCGCGGTGCGTAACCGTTCTCGCAGCCGCTTCCGGAGGCAAGACATATTTTCGTCCGGAGCGGCTCTGCGAACACGCATGCGTTGTACTGGATTTAGGGGCTGTTCTAGCTGGGTCCTTCTCCTGCTGCGCGGGCTGACCACGGAAGCCTGCCAGGGATAGTTCAAACCAAAGTCACAACTCAGTTGGGAAAGGGGAGCCAGTCATGCCCCGTGGTGGCTGCGTGCCTTCGATCCTCCCGACGGCATCTTCCCACAGCCTGTGTGAAGTCGGGGCGCCCAGGGGTCTCGCAGGTCGGTGTTGCCATGGCAGCAACACAGGGTCTCAGGCGGGGTTGCCATGGTGACAGACCAGGTTCTCTGTTCCCATAGCAGCCACATGGGGATTCACATGGCAGGGTGTCACTGCAGTTCGTAGGCAGGCTGCATGTTTAATCTGTTTGCCATCCGCCTGTGTACACTGAGTTGTTTCCCATACCTATTGTCATTCATTGTTTATATAGTGGCAGGGCCTAGGAGCCTCATCTGTGGATAACTTCCCACTGTGCTAGGTGCTGTACAAACATAACCAAAGGAGGGTTCCTGATGCAAAGAGTTTATACAGTCTCAGTATAAAACGAGATCAGCTAATCAGTTTTTTCCTTGCTGAAAACTTATCAACATCAACACAGGAGCTGAAAAAAACATATAATTTTTTATTTAGTTAAAAAAGAATTGGGGCACACTCTCTAAAGTGGCTGCAATAGTGGAATCTTGGTTCTTTTAAAATTTAAGTTAACAGTGTCCTTTAACCTGTCATACCCTACACAGATACATTTCAACAATAGTAACCAAATGAAAGGTGGCCTGTAGATTTAAAAAGAAAAAAATATGTAATATTGAGCCCACAGCCTGTCAAGTGGGAATTGTCATTCCTTGAACTCCCATCTCTGGATTTGAGGGCTTGCCAAACAGGAAAATTTACCAGCATTACTATACCGGTATAATTATACTGCTATATTTATACCAGTCTAGCTCCCTGTGAGGACATTTATTCGGCAGAACAGTGGGCTTTTTTTCCGATTTAGCTTAGGAGAAAGGGGCTATTGTTTTTCCTAATAACAGTGTCTACATGAGGAATTATACTAGTATAACTATAGTGCTATAATTATACTGGTATTGTAATTCTGGTAAATTTCCCAGTGTAGACTCACCCTTTTTGATGGATCAGAAGTGGAGAGGAAACTTGTAGTCAGTTTATTAAAGAAGGGAATTTCCCTAAAGTTTTTGTACCTTCAAACTCTTGCACACAAAATGACTTTGTGTTTCTATTCTACAAGACAAACTAATATCAGATAGATGTACAACAGGCTTATCTTTATTAAAGCTTTCTAAGAAAGTACACTGTTTTCCCCACACATTAAGAAACTGAACATTAAACTGGCAAAGCGTTCTAGTCCCACAATCCCTTTAACTATTATGCTCTTAGCGTAGTTCAGGGAGATCGTAGATTAATTGGCTTCATTTCTTTTTACATTTGGGCCTTGTTAGCTCTGGCAAATTTCTGAGAATCTTTCACCATTACACAACCACTGCTGGAATTTTAACCACCCATGTCATCTACCACTAAACAGGGTTAGACAGGACAGGGGTTAAAATGCCAGCAGATGGTCTACGCTGGTGCTTCTACCATTGCTGTCATCAGTGATAGTGTATTGTTAGGAGATTTTCAGAACTCCACCTGTGTAGAAGCAGCCCAAATGTAAAGGAAAAAAACAAAAAAAGACAGGAATAATCCTGAAACTACAGGATTTTCAGACATGAAAGTCAAATTAAACCATGATTTCATGGTAAAGCCAGCATGATCTTGTAGTAAATATGCCTGCAGGCAAGTCCTCCACCCAAGTGAAAAAAATTAGAAAGCAAGATGTTTTTAAAAAGTTACATGTTATTGTATTATGGAGTATACGTGGTGAAGAAGTGTTCTGCTAGTGAGATGGTTTTTCAAACTAAATGGCTATAAAGAAATTTTAGTTTTTAAAGCGATTATTCCTTAGAATGGGGCTGGAAGAAGTTAAATGAATGTTGGGTGACATCAGCAGTGGCATAAACTAGGAAATGTCCCCTAATATCAAGGGATTTAAAATATTTCATAAAAGAAGAGAGAAACTGGTGCATACCAAATACATGGAATGCACTACAATTTTCTTGATGAACTAAAAGTGCCAACGTCTGGCCAGAGCTGTTCAAAATACTTATCATGAAATAAAACACATTTGAAACATGCCCTTTTTTGTGAATTCACAGAGCTTCCCCAAAATGGAGTTTCCCACAAACATTCTGCATCAAGGAAAATTTAATCCAAATTGGACATGGTAATTCCTATTAATAATTTCAATGCATCTTTTGGCAGTATATTTACCAATGGGTTTTGTTACCTGGTTGAAGTTACGTGGTATTTCTTCAGGCTGACTGATAGGCAGAGCCTATGCACTCAAGAGGATCAGCAGGAACCATCTTGACTTGTTTTGAAAGGGTAGGGTGTGGAGGAGGAAGGGACTTGCCCTTAAAGGATATAAGAAACTGGAATGGATTCCTAATCCAAGTACCAATGCATTAGATTTAGCTACTTATTTAATAAACAATGGGATCGGGAACCAGAGTGTGAGAGAACTAATTCAGCCCCTCTTGATGCTGATGCCCCTTTATTAATTATTATTATTATTTGTATTATGATAGCACCTAGGAGCTCAAATCATGGACCAGGCCCTATTGTGCTAGGGGCTGCACAAACACAGAACAAAGACAGTTTCTCCCACAAAAAGCTTACAATCTGCAACATGTGTTCCTGCCTGCTGGCATCTATGTTGGTGGCTCTCCTTTCTTGGCAGAGCATGGCTGGGCACCCAGCACCAGGACCGAATACCCCATTTTATATGTGTTCTTGAAGTGTGCTCTGTTCCTTACATGAGGCCCAGGACCATGGATGAATATAGGATCCACACTGAATATTACATTACAAGCCCATTTTTCATCCAAGGAATAGTATTCCCAAACTTTGGACATTCTGCCCTTTCTCCTCCACCATCAGCTACATCAACTGACCTGACCCCCATGCTCCACCTACACTCTACCTTAACTAAATGTAAAACCTGCTCTCCCTCACTCTGTCTCACAAAGGACTATGACGTAGATGTAAATCAGTTTCTCACTGTGCTTCCCATCCTCTTGCCTCTGACCAAAGATCATTTTCAAAGATGGCCACTGTCCTGCTTCCACTCAAAAATTCTAATGGAAGTGGCATTTTCTGCTGCTGCATTATGCAGTGAAAAAAACACACTTTTATGGAGAAGCAAATTGGGGGGGAATGAAATTTCCCAAACTGGAATGGAAAAGTTATTTGCATGAAGAAGTGAGGTTTTTACCCACAAAAGCTTATGCCCAAATAAATCTGTTAGTCTTTAAGGTGCCACCAGACTCCTTGTTGTTTTTATAGTTCGACTGAACATTCTGTTCCACGTAGGTTTTGATGGTGATTATAGATGCAGTATATACCCATAAGGAGATACTTGGTCTGGGTGACAGCAAAAATGCACTTACAAAATGACAGGTTTCAGAGTAGCAGCCGTGTTAGTCTGTATCCGCAAAAAGAAGAACAGGAGTACAGCCCACTTCTTCGGATATGCATCCGAAGAAGTGGGCTGTAGTCCACGAAAGCTTATGCTCTAATAAATTTGTTAGTCTCTAAGGTGCCACAAGTACTCCTGTTCTTCTTTTTGTACTTACAAAAGTTATTCACATATTGTTCCTGGTAGCTTTATCCTCCTTCAGAATCACTGGTTTCCAGCCAAAAAAACTCGGTGAATCATGTGATATCAGCCCCATACTGTCTGAATAATCAATATGCATGATCCTGCCTAAGTGTATATGCTGCATTTGGGAGCATATTTTCCACCGTGGGAAGACAGACACATGCTAGCTCTGCTTGAACTAGTGCACCAAGAATAGCAGTGTGGCTGTGGTGGCCTAGGCAAGTAGCTCAGTCTAGCTGCCTGAGTATGTACTGAGAGGGTTGAACATGATTGTACTTGTGTGGCTAGCCCAAGCTGCTACCTGTATAACCATGGCTCAAGCTAGTGTGTGTCTGTCTATGCACACTGGGAAGCACACTCTCAGCTGCAGTGCAGATATACCCTAAAAGGGTAACCTCCCTGTAACAGGATGCTGGCCAGGAGGTCCTGAGCCAGGCCCCTGTTAGCCCAGCTCCAATTAAGAAGCATTCATTGGGGCTGGCTGAGTAGGCCATGCCAAATTGCTAGAAAAGAAGCATCTGCAGGCCTCATTAGCCAGGGGGCTTTATAAGGCTGGCAGGCAGGCAGGAAGTGAAGGGGGAGGGAAAGCCAAAGCCTGTGCATCCCTGGTGGCTGGAGAAACTAGCTGTCCCCCAGGTTGCTGGTTGGGAGCAGACTATAAACAGAAGGTGGTAGGAACTGACACTGAAAATAAAAAGCACTGGTGATTGCACTCAGAAGAGGTCTCTGGCTGATTTGTTGCAAGGGCAAGTGAACTCCTCATTACACTCCCATTTTATCCATGTTAGAGTGTGCAGCAGCTGTGGTCTTACTTTACTCAGATTCCTTTAGACACCAAGACGATGGAGGATCAGAGTGAAGAAATACGTACTTACAAAGCATAGTCAGAATACAGTTACAAATTTCACCATGTGGTACGGTCTAGCTCTTACAAACTGGCCAGAAAGAGTTGAAATATCTCTGCATGAGATGAAAATACAGCAATAGCTCCTTTAGGAAAACCAGTAAAAAGGGACAGAAATTACAAGTCTTTGAAATATTTCAAAGAGGCCTATACATTTTTGCAAACCAGCCAAAATATGAAACTGATTATGTATTTAGTGACAGTTTTATAGCACTACAGTCTCCAGTGTCGAATGATAAGGGGCTGAGGCAGCAGGCAGGCCATAGACTGTAGTGGCTGTGAGCCTACATGTCATAAAGTTTAAGCTGCTCCTTCATATCTCCTTCAGACATCTCTCCAAAAGTCTCACTGTTTTCCTTCATGAGCCTGAAGATGGCAGTCAGCTGCTCTCTCTGAACCCTGTCAAGAAGAAAAGTAAAAGGAGAAATAGCCACCCTCCAAGAGGCACTGTGAATAGCAATGATGGAGTCAAATGAGACAGGACGCTCACCTTACAAGTCCTGTTGACTTCAGCAAACCTGCACTTATACAATAAGCAGGATTTGATCCTTAATACCCACTCCTCATACACACACACACACACACACTATCTAACTCTTTATTCCAAGACATATCCCCTTATTTTGAGCTGTTTTAGGGCTTGTCTACAGACACTCTTATATTCTGAAATAAGTGTCCACACATGGAGTTATGCTAAAATAGTTATTGCACTTTAAATATTACCTTAATCCAAATTAACTTTCAAGTGTACACAAGCCATTTGTACACAACTTTCAAGTGTACACAAGTAGTCTGCTACTGGGAAATGAGTGATCAGAGAGAAGTCAGTCTAGCATTGGGGTTTACTAGGTTTTTTTCCCCCAGTGTTGAGTAATGGGCATCAGGAGTTGGCCTTGAACCTAGAACATGGACATATTCTGTTATACATACCCCTAATTTTTTTTAGGGGGAAGGAGGAAAGAGTACTGTTTCATTACTAGCTGGGATTGGTTACAGGACTGATGTGGTCTCACTGCAAGTCTCCCTGAGAGTGCAGCAAGTTTCCCACCAATTACATGCAGTCCTTGGCTCTCCTTCCTAGGATTATAAGAACTCAAGGAGCCATGGTGTTATGACTGTAACAAGAGCAGAACAAGGCTTTGCTATTATTATCTAAACCTCAAAGCTCTTACTGCCCTTCCATCCCCCATGAGAACAGAGTCTGTTGACCCACAGCAGGTCAGAAATGCAGAGCTGGTGCTGTCCACAGATTCAAACCCTCTCAGCATCACTGGTCCCTGAAGCAGGCTGCTGACCGTGGATGGAAGATTGGCCTTAACTCTCTGCCGTCCCAAAACCCACCTTCCTAGGATTCTCTGCTTCTGGCACAGCCAGCCCTCCTGTCTATAGTAGTAGAATCTCATTCCAGTTGCCAAACCTATCCTGACAAGTCCCTTCCTTACCTGCCAGATATTCTGGCACCCGGCCCTGATGATAAACTCTAGGGACTCTCTTGCCGCAGCCGAGACAGACAACGGGCGAGTTTGCAGCAAGAGTTTTCGCTAACAAATGAAAGCATGAGAATTTTGTTTTACTCCATGGTGACGATACCACCATGGAATGAGTCTCTGCAGGTTGTGCTGGGAAGCAGATATTACAAGTGGCAATCTCACAAGCACAGGAAGATGGAAGATCAGAACTCAGCCGGCATTAAGCTATGTCTTCACTGCACTAAAAGATGTGATATTATATCAAGATAGTAATATCAATGTAAAATCCTACTGGAGACAAGTCAATATAGCTAGATGAGGTCGATCCTATAACACCCTCCTCCCTCCCCTCCACTAGGATTTTACATCTAGATAGTTATCTTGAGTTAGTTACCTTGATGTAGAAATACACCTTTTTTTGGTAGTGAAATCACAGTTTTAGGAATGTGGTTGCTTAAAACTTAAGGGGGAAGCTGCTTAGAAGTTGTGGCGATGGGAGTGGTATAAATGTCTAGAGCAGACAAAAGACGTGAAAAGCTCTGTGTAGCTCGAAAGCTTGTTTCTTTGACCAATAAAAAAATATTACCTAATCTCCCTTCTTTCCCTAGAGAAGACAGAAACAGTTTCAATGTGTGTGTGAAACAACAGAGCACAGCACTGATCCATCAACAGCAATTCCACTGTGCTCTGTTGTTTCACACACAAATTGAACCTGTTTCTGTCTTCTCTAGGGAAAGAAGGGAGGTTAGGTAATATTTTTTGATGTATCAGTGCTGTGCTCTGTTGTTTCACACACATTAAAAAACAAAATCAATGGTAGGAGATGGGCCATAGTCACAGGTGAACAAAGGAGCTTTCAATCTGTGAAGCACAACTTGGAACTGGAAGGGTTGTGCGTGTTCCTTACATCTACTGATAAACACGAATACTGATCAGAAGTGGTGACAAGTGAGCTGCATTTCCCACCCTGCTTTAACATTGCAGGGGAAATGGAATTCTGAAAAAGCAGAGCTTAGCAAACAGCAGCAGTTATTGTGCCAATTACTTTGTTCTACAATCAAAATCCATGTGGCTGTAGCATTTAAAGACTATATATATTCTGTTAATGAGCTAGGATCATTTTGTTATGAAATGAAAGCTTCTCTGTACAGCCTTGGCTTGGAGCGGTCATTATACCCCCACTGAACCAATGACATCTCAACTCTATAAGCCTCAAGAATCCCACTCTCTCTCATATACTTTACTCACTTGCATGAGAACACATTAATCTAACCTTTTCAGAATAGGAAAAAGGAAGGGAGATAGAGCAGTTACAGATCTTTGTATTTTATTTCAGAACTTAATTGGATTCCAGGGGGCATATCTCCTATCTAGTCTGGAGAAATTCAGTATGTGTTCTTCTCCTTACACAGGCATCTTTGAAGTTTATTCCAGCTGGGAACAAAAACTAGTTCTGGTTCTCTTTGTTATTGTTCCAAGAAGCTTAATAGATTGTGTTTAGACTTTCTCAATTGCAACTTTTAGTGACCAAACACTTTTTTTCTAGTATGGTCACAGAAAAGTCTCAACATGTTTTTTGGTTTGTTTGTTTTGTTTTTGTTTCAACCCAATATCAATGCATTTGGATTTCACTCATCACTGACAAAATAGGCTAAGGCTGGGATTTTCAAAACAGCTGAACTCTTGTTGAAAATCAATGGTATTTGGGCTCCTTGTCCCCTTAGCTCTTTGAAAATTCTAACTCAAGATTTTCAAAAGTAATTAATGATTTGAGGCACCTAACTTGAGACCCTGCAAATGGACCTGATTTTCAGAAAGTGCTGAGTACCCACCTTCTGAAAAATCAGGTCCCTGTACAGCAGTGGTTCTCAAACTTTTGTACAGGTGACCCCTTTCACATAGCAAGCCTCTGAGTGTGACCCACCTTATAAATTAAAAACACTTTTTAATATATTTACCACCATTATAAATGCTGGAGGCAATGCGGGGTTTGGAGTGGAGGCTGACAGCTCGCAACCCCCCCAGGTAATAACCTCACGACCCCCTGAGGGGTCCCAACCCCCAGTTTGAGAACCCTTGCCGTACAGGGTCTTGGCTACCCAAAAATGGAGGCTCCCAAAATAAAATTGTCACATTTGAAAAATCTTGGCCAAAGATTCTGCAATTGGAACTTCACGAATACTACGGATGGTGAAGGAGCAAAAATAGTCTCCAGCTCACCTCTCCCAGCTCCACTGACTCTGCCTAGCTCCAACAGAAGTAAAATCAAAAGGTTTCAGGGTGTGATTTTTAACAGTGTTGGCCTAATTCTGCTCCCACTGAAGTCAATGGGACTACGTGTGGAGTAAGATACCCATATTCACAGAGTGACATCACAGTCTGGCCCTCTGTCACTACAGTCCTGACTCTGGGCACATATAGGCAAATCTGCTGAGTAAGACTTTACAAGTGTCTTCCTCCACATTCTATACGACAACAAGTCCTTATTGGGTATTGTCACATGAATAAGAATTCCCTGCTAGGGCAGCAAAAGCAGTGAAAGATAGATGTGACCCAGATGTAATGCTATAAATCACCACTAGACAAGTTCTGTGGAAGAGAGAAGGGAGGGGAAAAAAGCAAAAGGTAAAAACAACACAATGCCCATCCAAATAAACTATTCAAAGATTTATTGAACTGAACAAAGGCAATTTACAGTTTCAAGCCACTAGAATTACAGTCCTGTGTATAATAGCCACCTTCAGATGAAAAAAAAAAAAAAAAAAAAAAAAAGTTAAAAAAATACCTAGACAGCCTTTTTGTTGTTAAAGAAATAGCTTAACTCGCTGCCACTTGCAAAATCTGGGCTCGGCTATAGACTTCGCTTGCTTGATGTATATTTTGCCATATAACTTAAAGATATCTGTGTATAAGGCATTCTTTGCATAGTCACGCGCTTGGAACGTCAAATCTGCCAGCCAGCACGAATTGGAGACAGAATGGCCAGTCATGTTGGATACCTCGAAGCAGAGCGGCCTTGTGTGTCTAGGAGTCATAAGCAATCCATTTAATGTGCTAGCAGTTACCAGCTTGGAAGGGGCAGCTTCCTTAAAGCTGAAGCCTCCGGCTGTTTGTGAAATGAGCCCTTTTTACAGACAAACATTCTCCAAACCCAGGCGCTGCAAAGAACGACCAAGTAAATAGTTTCAAGTATTGTCTGTGTAGGAATAAAACAAAGCAGCCTGGTTTTTGATATGCTTGAAGCTTTAGCTAAGAGGCGACCTCTCCACAAAAATGAAGGGAAGCTTGGAGGACAGATTCCAACTATGCTGTAATGCTGCAGGACATGAGGTGATGTCAGCAGAGGACTCAAAACCCTCTTCCCATGGAAGGACTTCCTGCAAACCAACCCGACCCTATTTGAAGTTAGATCTCAATGGAGCGGGTGCTGATGCCCATCAGAGCTCATCTCCTGTACATGACAAGGCTCAGAAGAGGAGCTGAACCTCGGGCAAAGCAGGCAGGCCAGCAACAGTGACAAAAAGGAATGGGAAAGAGAAGGGGATATTAGAACAGCAAGGTGGTGTGGAGAAGAGAATGGGAAACGTTGTTGGCACCCCCAGAAACTCATCATAATCCAGAAGGAGCCCTCAATTTCAGGGCTACCTCCTCCACCCTCTCCCTCTTGGGAACTAGAGCAGGGAAAAGTAAATCCAGGCACTACCAGTCATTAACAAAGCTTGGGCTCCTAAACGGGAAGTCACCACAAACAGTAGAGCTACAAGACAAACCAATCTCACTTCTTAGGTCTTCCCTCTACCTAAACTAAAGGATAAGCTTTCTGCTGAAATGATTACAGAGCAAGATTAAGTCAGTCCAGTGATAGTGTCTCAAACCCCCTTTCCCCCCCAATGCTAAACAATGTTTTAAATCTCCAGCTGTAATTTTCAA